AGACACAATGGCTTTTCAGAGGATCCTTAAGTGGTCCCAGGACTTAGGATACTTTTAATGTATTGGAACCTTTATTCTGGGGAGAGCCTTGGTGCTCTTGCAACTAGTTTTCTTTTGAGGAAAATAATGTTTGCTACCTCTTTCCTTCTCATCCTCACATTTGTTTTGCTCCACACTCAACCTTCTCTAGGAGTTTGCTGTAGAGCAAGCTTGTCCAACCCATGGCCTGTGGATCACATGCGGCCCAGGATGGCTTTGAATGCGGCCCAGTACAAATTCATAAACTTTCTTAATACGTTATGAGGTTTTTTGTAATTTTTTTGTTTCAGCTCATCAGCTATTGTTAGTGCTAGTGTGGCCCAAGACAATTTTTTTTCTTCCAGTGTAGCCCAGAGAGGCCAAAAGATTGGACACCTGTGCTGTAGAGAAACCATGGTTCAAGTTGTGAGTATGTATTGAGCACCCATGATTTACCTCCCACAAGACTAAGTCCTAGAGATGCAGGGAGGCCCAAGAATTGCCCTGCCCTTAAAGCACTCACAGGCAGTTAGAATGAGTGAAATTGTTATTTTTGTTTTTCAATAGTCATTAGCCCCTGACTCTCTCAATTAGAGGTTGGTAAACTAGACTGAGGGCCAAGTTTGGCCAGTGGCCTATTTTGTTTTGTTTTGCTTTAAATTGTGTTGAAATACACATAACATAAATATATTATTTCAACCATTTTTAAGTGTATAGTTCAATACTGTTAAGTATATTCACATTGGTGTACAACCCATCTCCAGAACTCTTTTCATCTTGCAAAACTGAAACTCTACACTCATTAAAAAAAGAACTCATCTTCTTTCCCCCCAGCCCCTGGCAGCTGCCACTCTACTTTCTGTTTCTATGATTTTGACTACTTGAGGTATTCCTATACATAGAATCATGCATCATTTGTCTTTCTGTGACTGGCTTATTTCACGTAATATAATGTCCTCAAAATTGCACCCATGCTGTAGCATGTGCCAGGGTTTCCTTTCTTTTTTAGGTGCTACAATGGCAGAGTTCATATGGGCTGCAAAGACTTAAATTTATGATGCAGTTCTTTACAGAAAAAAAAAATTGCCAATTTGCTTCAGATAAACAAGAATTGGTTATGTAAATGCCCTTATATTCTTGTTTGAAATGAATAGACCGTATACATAATAACAGCTTGCACACAATTTTACAGATGATAACTTTCACACACATCGCTGCACTGTGCCATGGTATGGTATTTAAAGATGAGGAAACTGAGACTTGGATTCCTGTTCCTAGCCAGCTCCCATTCTCATGGCTCAGGGCAGTGATTTGAAGTGATTTCTCCTCTCCTTGGACTCACTTACCTTAAAACCATCCCCTACTTTTCAGAAATGACCTTGCAGAAAATGTAGCATGGGGCTGAATTTCTTCAAGTTTTTCCCCCACTGAATTTACCTTTGTGAGTCTGTTCTTACACTGCTATAAGGACATACCTGAGACTGGGTACTTTATAAAGGAAAGCGGTTTAACTGACTCACAGTTCCACAGGGCTAGGGAGGCCTTAGGAAACTTACAATTATGGCAGAAGAGGAAGCAAACACGTCCTTCTTCACATGGTGGCAGCAAGGAGGAGTGCAGAGAGAAGCAAAGAAACAGTACCTTATAAAACCTCATGAGAACTCACTCACTATCATGAGAATAGCATGGAGATAACTGCCCAGATGATTCAATTACCTCCCACCAGGTCCCTCCCATGACACATGGGGATTATGGGAACTACAGTTCAAGATGAGATTTGGGTGGGGACACAGCCAAACCATATTAAGCTGCTTCTGTTCTTGCTTTCTGTCTGAGAGTGACTACCCCCTCTACCTGAGCTTGCAGTCCCATCTCATCCCACTTACCCTGGAAGCTCTAGCATCCATCCTCTTTCCTTATATGATCAGCCTTTCCATTTTCTGAGTCATTTGCCTCTGCTTTCAAACAATGCTACTTCCCTCAATACATCTATAACTACCTAAACATATAGAGAGACAGATATAAATATCTTCATATAATAGTATATCCGTTGTCTAGCTATTGATTGAGCTATCTATCATCTCTCTCTTTCTCTCTATCTTCTGTCTATCCATCTATCTATCTATCTGTCTATCTATCTATCTATCTATCTATCTATCTATCTATCTATCTATCTATCTTCCCAACCTGCCTTTCCTACAAGTTACCATTCTCTATAAGGTTTTATTTTATTTTATTTATTTTGGTAGCAAGTGACAGAAAAAGCAACCTGAATGAATTTAAGCACAAGAGGGATTGGTAGGATGGGTCCCAGGGTGGCTCAGACAGCTGAAGTGGAAGCCAAACAAGCAGCCAGGCTTCAGGAAAGACAGCTGAGGGTGGCTAAGGCCCCTGAGGGGCTCCAGAGGATGCCCTGTCTCTGTGTTATATATATCTGCTTTTCTCTGTGTGGCTTCATTCACCCGGACTATTTCTCCACCAATCTGGAAACATGGCTGTGGGTGTCTCCCAGGGTCATATCTCTTCAGCATTGCCACCAGAAAGGAATGACCAACTTTTATTTCCAGTGGAATCATCCTCAGGGATGACTCCAATCAACCTTCCTGGGGCCACATGCTACCCTGTGATGGGTACCATGATTGCAACATTTTCAGACCCCTGTGCTAAGAGTGGAGGGTAGAGCAGTTCTTCAAAAGAAGGCAGGCTTGGTGTAGCCAGAAGGAAGGGAGGGGCACTGGACAGCAAAAATAAATGGATTTTCACTACATGCTGTATTTTCTTTCTTCTCTTTTCCATCAAATGTATTGAAGGCACTGCCATGCTTTGTGTATCTACTTAATCAACTTTTGTTCACTCAACCAATTCAATCAGGCTCACCTTCCATCTCTACACATACCTTGTTAAGGTCACTGATGTCCTCCTTGTCCATCTTTGACTTCTGTTGAGAACTTTGGACCTATTCACACACTCCTTTTTTCATCTGCCATGGCTTTGGTGATGACACTCTCTCCTAGTTCTCTTATTTCTCTGCTGACATTTCACTGTCTTTTTTGGCCTTTGTCCTACTGATTATTTCTTTAAAATGTTTACTCCAGAGCCAAGACTTTGCTCTGATTCACACCATACATTTCACTTGGACATTGTGATGGCCTCCTGACCCATCGCCACATATAACCAGGGACTCCCAGGTCACTCGATAGCTGCCCTTTCTCCATCCTGCTCTCCTGGTAGGCATTTACTAGCTCTTTCTCTGGATGTCCCTCAGTCACTTCTCATAGGTACAGAAACAGACTCACCATTTTTTCCTCCCTGGCCTCGCCTCTAAGAACCTGCTTTTCTTTGTGAAGTTCCATTTTGAGTATTGGCACCCCCATCCTCCCAGTCTGCTAAGCCAGGAACCTGGCTTCACTTTGCCCTCCTCACTCCTCAAATAGATAAGATAAGCCCACCTCACATATATCAGTCAGATCTATGTTTTGTTTTGTTATCTCAATGCCCATATCCACTGCTTTGGTTCTGCAAGTCATTATTGCTTGCCAGAACTATTTGCAAAAGTTTGCACACTCACCTCCCTGTTTTTAAACTTTTCCTAATTCCTGCAGGGTGAGCTTATATACAAATTTTTCCAGAGTACGATGTGACCTTGTCGCTCCTTCGCTTAAAAATGTGCATCTTTTCCTTGCCCTCTGAAGCCCTACACAATGGGCTCAACCAAAATTCACTGGTTTAATATCTTGATACTCCCTTCCATGCAGCCCTTGATTCAAACACTTCAAACTGAACACTGTTCTCTTCATGCTTTTTGAAAGAGTTCCTATTTATTTCTATTAAATTCATACATGTGCATAGGTTTTATAGTGAAAAAAATTGTACCTTTGAAGGTTTATTGTGAAAAATAGTAACCTCTGTTTCTGCTCCTTTTAGAAGTAATCATTTTCAACTCTTTTCACTGTTTTTCTTTTCTTTTCTTTTCTTCTGGTGTTTGCCTCCATATTTCTAAATAACATGTTCAAGTGTCCTCTTTTGAGTTCTCAGCTTTAGCATTTACACGTATTTTGTCCTCTCCTGCCTGTCTGACTCACACACATACATTTTCCCTTCTACATCCTTGCACTATAATTATAGAGTAAGTTTTGATAGAAACATATTCAACTTCTGCGTTAATATAACTAGGTGAATATTTTTCACAACCGAGCCGTGTTATATATCAAGACTATGTTTCCATCCTTGAGCAAGTTTTTATTTTCCCATGTGTTAATAATTGCCATGATCTTTGAGTGGTTTACTTTTCTATATACCAATCAGTGATTCAGTCCTAAGCTGGTTGCCAGAAGTTAAAATATTCTCTCAATATATTCATAGGTCAAGTAATCCATCTGTTTTATTAATGTTGTTGGGATTCGTCTCCTGAATCTATCTCCTCATATGATTTTTCAATTTGAGGGGAGTGAAGATGAGGTTGGGAGAATGCGCCCAGAAACACAATACTAAGTTCAGCACTCTAGCATTTGGAAGGAAGAGAAAACACTTTTCCTCAGATGTCAACCCCACTTACTTTATTTTAAAAATCATCAAATCCGTTTATTACCTATGTCAAGGTATTGTGTCTCTTCTTGAGCTACATGGCCTGGGGTTTTCCTTCCAACTAGTTCATTGCTACTTACACACAGCTGGAAGGCACTTACAAAAATAGCCTCTTCATCTGGGCAAAGTGGCTCAAGCCTGTAATCCCAGCTCTTTGAGAGGCCAAGGCAGGTGTATTGATTGAGGACCCGAGTTTGTAACCAGCTTGGGCATCATGGCAAAACTCTGTCTCTACTAAAAATACAAAAAATTAGCTGGGCATGGTGGTGCATGCCTATGGTCCCAACTACTTAGGAGGCTGAGGTGGGAGAATCACCCGAGCCCGGGAGGTCGAGGTTGCAGTGAGCCGAGATTGTGCCACTGCACTCAAAACTGGTCAACTGGAGTGAGACCTTGTCTCAAAATAAATAAATACATACAAATACAATAAAATGCAGCCTCTTATATCAATGTATTGTGGGATGATGACAATGTTGGTGATGATAATAATGACCCTATGGAAGATAATGCACAAACACGTCTAAATTTTATCTGTTTTGATCTTGCAAAGGACATAGAGAAGTCACAGAACAGGAGCAATCAGCCTGCTGTGTCTACACAACAGCCCTAGAGATTAAACTGTGAGTACTCTCATTTTCCAGAGGAGGAAATGCCAGCAGCTTGCCCAGGGTTACAGAACTAGTGTTTATGGGACTCAGGAGTTGAGCTCAGGAAGTCTGACTGCAGAGCCCATACCTTCCTCTGTGCTGCACCACTCCTGAATCTTAGAAATGATATACTGGGTGTGGTACCAATGAACACAGTAACAAAATACTGTTACTATTCTCTCTGGTCTCACTTCTAAACCCAACTGGGCACACCCTGTGTCCCAGGATATCATTCCCTCACTCTGCCATGTCTTTCTCTGTGCTTTTGCAGATGCTGTTCCACTGCCACGGACTCCCTCCCCATATCTTCCTGGAAAACACTTGTTCACCCCTTATTCAGTTATCACTTCCTGGAGGAACACTTTCCCTGACTTTCCCAGAAGATTTCCTTCTCCATGTTCTGCAGGGACACCACTTATCCTGCTCCCACTATAGCAGGAATCAGTGCTCTCTATACAAGTGCCCAGTACACAGCTTGGACCTCTGAAGGTATTTAGTAAAAGTTTATTTAATAAATGAACAAATAAATCAATGAACGGATGAATGAATTTTCTTAAGTAAACTTTCTCCATAGACCAAGAACCTTGTAAATTCTCCAGAACTACTTTCTCCAATTTAAGAAATTTTTCCCAAATCTTTCCTCCATGGTTCACCTTCTCCTAAATTCATTTTTTTTGTTGTTATTTAAAATATTGCATAGTGGAAAGTGGCTGACTCTGAATTTCTAACTATTTTTATTATACCCAACTGAGTGCAAATATTCCAATCCGCTCCTTTGTTATTCTTTTCAATATTCAACATACGTATTACTCATAAAAATGTGACTTCCTGCTTTATTTCCAGTGTAACATGAAATCTACCAGAGAAGTTTCCATAAAACCTACCAGAGAAAATGAAAGCTAGCAGAGACAGAAGATTTTATCTGTTCTTGTGGCTCCCCACTGTCCGCTCGCATCATGTCATTCTGCTTAGCACTTCTGGGCCCATTTCCTTCAAAGCACTTTCCAAGCATGACCTAAGTGATGTATCACAGGCGAGGGGGTGGGACGCCAGGAACTTGAGCTGTAAATGCAGAACTGTTAAACTCAGTTTTGGAGGAAATTAGATTTTAGAGTTGGAAAAGAAATATGGTCCTGATACTAACACCCTGTCTCACTTCAAATGACCAAACCTCCACCTCTCCTCTGACATCTCCTCCGTGAAGACAAGGGGCATATTATGTCCACTGGAAGGGTGACTGAGAAGTGGTTTTTCTAAAGATTATGAAAAGCTATAATCCCCAGTGGGCAGCCACATTAAAGGATGATTTTTTTCAAGATTGTCAAAAAAAGAACTGCCACCACTTCATAAACAAAACGCACTATACTGGAAAAGCTGGAAATCATTCAAGGACACACATCATATTAAATTGTAATAGTAACACTTGCTATTTGTTAGGTGCCTACTGTGTGCCAGGTGTTGTACATACAATATTGTTAATCCTTTTCACAACACTCAGAACAGGGTAACGAATCTTCAAAAGTGAAGCCTTTTCCCAAGTCCAGACTCTGTGACCCCTTTTAGCTTCAACCTAGGAGGATTCTCTCACATAAGAAGGACATCTTTCAGAAAATGCCACTGGGTGAGGAAGAGGCTAAGGGTTAAATAAGGAATTGTACTCACTGAGTGACCTTTTTCAGAATTTGTTTTTCAATCTTGTGGAAAGGTCTGGAAGGTTCAAGTTAGCACAGGTGTGACCACTGGGTAGTGGGACTAGGGGCTGTGTATCCAGAGAGGGGAAGATTTCGGTTTTTAGTGTATAGCCTTCTGTATCACTCACAATTATGTTTTATGTAGTGATTTAGCAATTTCAAAATATTATAATGAAGATACAAGTATAAAGATGCTTTATGACAGGGCACAGTGGCTCACACCTGTAGTCCCAGCACTTTGGAAGTCCAAGGCAGGTGGAAGGTCAAGCTCAGGAGTTCAAGACCAGCCTGGGAAATGTGGTGAAACCCCATCTCTACAAAAAGTTAGCCTGGGACACGCCTGTAGTCTCAGCTACTAGGGAGGCTGAGTGGGGAGAATCGCTTGAGCCCAAGAGGTTGAAGTTGCAGTGAGCTGTGATTGTGCAACTGCACTCCAGCCTTGGGTGGCAGAGCAAGACCCAGTCTCAAACAAACACACAAAAAATCCTTGATAATCCAGATCTTATTTCCATTTATTACATCTCCTTCCTAGTCTGGCGTTCTCTGCAAATTCAAGAAACCATCCTTAAGTTCTTCCTGCAGGCAGGAGTGGGCTCTGTCTAGTTCATCACTGGATCTGCCACATCTGGCAACTGCCCTATGCCTAGTCAGTGCTCAGTCATTATTTATTGAATGACTTCTCTACAAGAATTCAAAATTGTCAGTGTTTCTTTTAAAGTTGATACAAAAAGTTGAACATTCTAGATATCTTGGAACTGACATGACATTTTGGTGCATTTGTTTGCAATAGCGTGCAAACTGCTCACCAAAATGACAAAGGCTAATGAGAAAAGAAAACTAGGCAACCTAGTATATCGCTGACGTGTTTTTGCTAGGCTAAGGCCAAGGACACGGTGTCAGACTATGGAATGATAACTGCACAGACGTCACCAGGCCCTTCACAGTATGAACACGAGGGGCTCAAAATCACCTGCTCCATGGAGGTCAGGATGACACATGTGGTAAACCAGTGATTTCATGTCAACCAAAGAACATCACCTGTCACATTAATGTTGTTAATTGGACTTTTATAATATTTTAATTTTATTTTTAAATTTTAGATTTGTAATTGTATAAAAGCCATAGCTATATTTATAATCTTGTGTGTGCCTATGTTTAAGCAATAATATGAACAAAATACCAAGTCTGTCAAGGAATCAGTTTGAAGAACTACAGTCTCAAATTGTTACTGAAAATACTAAAGCAGACAAAGCCAAGGACAAGAGTCCTATGGCATGTATCTTGAATTATTAATGCACAGTTTGAATATATTTTGTCAATCAGGTAAAAATACATGTAATAGAACTATTACTCAAGCTGTGCATTTTATCCACAGGATATAATCACAGCTTTAAGTGCTGTTTATCAAAATTAAGGCATACAATGTCCTTGGCCTCTTCCTCCTATCAGTGTAGTACTAGAAGTTGTTCATTTAACAGATGTCTACAGAGAGCCCTGTAGGTAGTGGACACTGTTTTAGGAGCTTGGGATCCCAGCCTTGGGAGCTTTCAGTGCACAATTCTTCCAAAGTTCTCCTCAGACCTCCATCAAGTTGTGGCTCTACCTCTGATACTGTTTACCAGATTGCACACAGTTTTTATTATCACACATCAATTAATGTAACCAGACAACCAGAAATGAGACATATGCAGTTTCTGCCTTTCTGGAGACTTGAACTCCACTAAGTTGAGCTTCCACTGTGTTTGTGACCTCACTCCTGAGGCCGGGAAGCAGTCAAGCATCCCTACCTCGTGACTTTTCTCCCTGCTCGGCTTCTTTCTCCACAGGCCTAGGAGACTTGTGTAATTTGGCCTGAATTTACGCATGTAATTCATTTGAGTTCTATATACCTCTTCTACCCATTCAATAGATCCTCCCTCTAAGTAACACAGACCTCTCAGCATAAGAGATCTGATTTATGTAGAGAAGTAAGAATGTGTTTTAATTGACATCAAGTTGAAAGGGTAGGAAATAAAATTGTATAAAATCTGATTACAGTTATGTGTAATATATGCATGCATTCTGAAAAGATTGAGAGGGAAATTGTTACATTACTATATATATGTTATAAATATATTAACATTTCCATGCTTGTTAGTTTTTCCCATTGAACTTGAACATAATTAAAATGTAATGAAATAACTGAATTTAGTTGACATGGCATGTTTAGGTGAACATATGATAGCCTCAAGTTTTCACAACTTTTTAAAATACTCACAAGAAGGTGATCAGGATTGGTCTTAAATTTATAACACAATTGCCCACAAAGTTATCTTTTCCCTCTTTTTTTTTTTTTGTTTGTTATGGGGGTATATGCTTTGCCCCCAGTGTTCTAGAGTGTTAACTGTTTCTATGATTTATTTAAGAGACAAAAAATGTTGACAATGATTTTAATTTCATATTCTCTACTTCTCTTAATGCCCTTGAAATACAGTTCATTAGGGCTGGGTGGGATTCAGTTTCCTCTTTATAAGTTTGGTCCTATTTTGGGGAATCAGCATTTCTGTTTTAAAAAGAAAAGAAGTATTAAAGAAGATTATCTCTAATTTACCTTCAGATCTAAAACAGCACATTAAGAACAACTCTGTATGATATACGTATGTGAAAAGGTCTATCAGATGTAAAGGAACTATAAACAATTGAACTTGGAATGATAAATTCATATAAATTTAACAAGGAGTGGAATAATACAGTGGTGACTTAGTTTTGGTTATAAAATAAAAATTATTTAACTTCTGAAACAATGAGCAGTTGATATGTTAAAAAAATTAAGAAATAGTGAATGTTAACATGAATTGTAGAATGTTTTTTCCCCAATATCTCTGTATTCCATTAAGAGACAATGTATTAGCCCATCACAAATGAACAAATATTGTATGATTCTGCTTATGTGCGGTACCTAGGGGAGTCAGATTCCTAGATAGAAAGAATGGTGGTTGACAACTGGGGAGAGGGAAGAATTGGGTATTATTTTTTCATGAGTAGAGTTTCAGTTTTACAAGATGGAAAGAGTGGATGGTGGTGATGGTAGCACAACATCAATTTAGTGGAATTAAGTGAATGTACTTAATTCCACTGAACTGTACACTAAATAATGGTTAGGATGTTAAATTTTATGTTACGCGTATTTTGCCACAACTTAAAAGAGAGACAATGTATTATACATTATACAAATACAGGAAAGTCTGTTTTACTTCCACGTATTTATTTAAGTTGGGAGCACCTTTTTTCCTTAATTATAAAAGTCAGATATACAATTGGAAATATAAAGGCAAATTACTTCTTTACAGATGACATAATGAGAATTCTATAAGGTATCTGGTGAGAGAATTGATTTTTAAATGGTAGAGCATTCTTGTAAGTACACGTTATTCAGAAAATGTAATGGAAACGCGAATCTTATATGTAACTTTTAAAATAAAATACTTAGAAATAAAATTAACAAGAACTTATAAAATTTGAGTGAAGGAAAGCTTAAAACTTTACATAAGACATAAAATAAATTTGAATAATTGGAGAGACATGCGTAGTTCTAAATATGAAAACTCCAAGTGTAAAACTGTTGTCTCAAAATCTATAAATTTAATGTACTCCTTTGCAAAAGTAGATAAGTTGATTCCAAAGTGTGTATCAAAGATACATATGTGAGAATACCCAAAAAAGTATTTTAAAAAAGAAAGAAGAGTAATTAAAGAGGATTGGTACCTCTAGTATTAAAATGCATTCTCAAAACTAATTTTAAATGGTTGGTACTGTTGCTAGAGTAGACAAGACAGATGAATGGAACAAAATACAATTCAAAAATAGAGCCAAA